GTACTCATTCAAAATTCTTATTGGTAAAATTAGATCTTATGACTAGTTTTCCAAATATAACTTAATATGTACCAAATATATGAATTTTAAACAATAAATATATACTGACATAAGTCGATATTTTCAAGAGAAATATCTTATATTAAATATTTTGACATACTATTTTAGATTAAGAATATACCCCTTGTACTATTTGCAAAGGGAAAAAAATCGTACTTACAGGGTGATCGCGGTTGAATATGTAAGTTAAATCAACAAAATGTTGAAATTGTTGTCAAAAAATAGAAAATAATTGTTGTTCATCAAAAAAATAGTTTAAGTCCATATACAGGGTCATACTTTATTTCGGTACAAAAAGTTGATTATATGGTAGGTCTCAGTAGGATGTGCAGAAATGATTTATGATCGGATTACAGGTTTATTTGGCTCGAGTATTGTCATAAGTGCCTCTTTGTATTGTATATTTAAATAAGATTATGAGCTCCATTCACGCCAACAATGAGGTAAAGCCCCCAATACATTTTGTTTTAAGTCGCATCCATTGAAGGATGGTTACAGTTGAACTTGCAAGGTGGAAAAATCAACAATATATAAAATGATTGCCAAATATTAGAAAATAAATTGCTTGTGAGTTCTTTATTGAAAAAGATTATAAATATTCATACATTAATATTTTAAATACCCAATACCAAACTTTGTCAAACTGACATAGTTTTTGGAATAACTAGAAATTAAAAACATTTAATGGAGCCTCAGAATGAAGTAGTCAATGAGCAGAAAAATCTAGGAAATTAACCATTTCTTAACTACTGTTTCATTGCGACTTTTCTTCTAGGAAATCCATTGAGTAATAGTTATGCACACAATGAAGTATAAATGTCATATCTACTTATTGGTACTCATTCATATAAGAAATAGTATTTTCATGTTATTGGTTTCAAATATTTAACATAAGATATTTTTATAGTTTACAGCTTACAGCTTACCTGTTCCTCTCTTGATTTTTCAAGGGCTTCTCAAAACAATATGATATGAATAATGAATATAGGGTAATAAAATTTTCGAATAACCTGCCTGTTTTTATATTTTCATTATGCAAAGGCACGCAAGTCGTTTTGTTAAGTATTTAATGATTTAAACTTCGAAATATAGATAATCTTTAACATCCTGTAACTTCGTAATTTTTCACGTCAGACGTTAAGCTTGTTGTAATCGACACAACCAAGGCATTTTAAATCGACTTGGGTCTGATACCGTGTTAAGAATCACCCTGTATACTCGTAATGATAAAATATAAAGCTAAAGACTGTCTACATGCCTGAAGTTTTGCTTTTTTATATCTACTATGATAATACATAATTTTTCCGAAGATTTTCACAATGATTAAATATTTTCCGAATAATTGAACATATTGTTGACTTTTATAATAAATGACGTTTGTATTACTTTAAGCGAGCATTAGACCGTTCTGTATTAGTGTTTTGAATAAATATTGTTGCAAATATGGCGTTTGTAAATAGGATTAGCTGTTATGTTTGCAATAGACACTTTTACTTCGACTCACTATTCGTTTAGACGAGGACAATAATATAGATGTGCTTAACATTGCTAATTTTAGAAGACAAGCTGCCGGACATCCTACAGTCGATAATCTACAAGAAGTAAGATTATGTTTAAACTGTTATTACGCAATTACACGGGAACTTAGAGATATTGAAAATGATCCAAATTGCAGTATGCAGAGCAAATATTTTTTTAGTCTCAAATAATTATGTACCCGAATATCTGAAGATTTGTGACATTCATCTAAATCATTCGGGTTTACTAATGATTAATTTACATGCTGGTTTGCGTTTTGTTTATAGACCATTCCTCCCCGTTAATATTCAGCAATTTTTGTCTAGTTTAAGAGAATTATATGAATTTTGTGAACCAATAGAACAATATGGTAACTTAAGAAGCATTGCTCAAAAAGATTTACTTGCTTTCCTTGTTAAACTAAGACATGGATTGTCAGATGAGTTTATAAAATTACTTTTTAATTATTCATCCCGACAAGTCACTAGTATAATCATATCTAATGTCCGTATGTCCCTGCTTCAAAGATTTGTACCTAGTAATATTGGATTTAGATCAATAACCAGAGAAAACTATATCATAAATCATGTCCCTGAATTCGTAAACGCGCTTTACAACCCTATAGCAAATATTCCAAAGGTCATATTTTATGTCGATTGTACATATAACTCAATTGAAAAAAGTAGTAATTTTAGAATATTACGTCAGTCCTATTTCTATTTTAAGAAGGAACATTTAGTTAAGCCAGAAATTACAGTAGCTCCTGACGGATATATTTTATCAATCAATGGTCCCTATTTTTCTGATGCATCTAATAATGATGCAGCAATCTTACGGCAACAATTGGTTAATGATAATAATGAATTTAGAAACTGAATTACAGAAGGAGATATAGTAATAGTAGATAGAGGCTACAGAGATGTTATTCCTAGATTAGAAGAACTTGGGTTAATTACTTATATGCCACCTTTGCTTCATCAAAACCAACGGCAATTATCAACAAGTGAAGCTAATAGAGCGAGACTAATAACTAAAACTCGTTGGGTTGTAGAAGCCAGAAATAGACATTTTAAATCCATTTTTAAATTTTTTAAAGGCCGCATATCCACGCATTATGCAGTTAATTTGAGTGGTTTTTATCAGATTGCAAGTGCGTTGTTAAATAAGTTTCATCCTCTTATAAACCTACCAGGTACAATGGACATAGCAGTTGAAATTTTAAACAAACTAGATGACGTTAATATTATACAAGCACGCGTCGAAGCCCAAAATCTGACTACCAGAAATGGTCGGTGGCGAAGATATAACAACATGCATATTCCTGAATTTCCTCGCGTAGAGATCAATTTCCTAAAAGACTTGGTAGGTCCTTACCATATTTATTTAAGTCCATCATATATTCAAGATAAACTGCAAAGAGAGGAAAATAATGTTTTAGAAATAGACGAGTTTAGAAGAGAATAATTTTTTACGTTTTAGAATTTATTCTAGGTTCAGAAACGCAACTAAACATATGCTGTGGTTGGCATACGAAGAGGAACTTAATGAAAATATTGATCCAATTTTCTACTATTATTGTACTTGTCCATGCGGTTTACTAAATAGCATCGATGATGCAGCAGACCGATTATTTCCAGAAAATATCGATCTCGGTCCCATAGTAGAAGAAAATTAATTGGTATTACCATCTCGTATTTGCACCTAATACTTAACGTTAACGTCTTGGTTCAGTTACGTCAGTCATTTGGTCGTTTATCTTTAGTTCAGGCTGATCTTTTAATTTAATATTTGACTTTTGTTTTCTTATATACCTTACAAAGTATCTGAATTTATATCTTTAGTGTTTGTAATAAATTCAGTTGTCCTTTGTAATTGCTATTATTGTTATATTTTTCCAAGTTAGGAGAACATTAATAACAATGCCAAAAAAAAGAGAAAAGAGAATTAGGTGTTGTGAAAATTCTACGTACATACGTGCTAAACTTGATGCCAAAAAAGACTTGCCAAAAATGTAATGATCTCTTTATATAAATAAGTAAGATATATTGAGATAAATGAAGAAATGGGTGGGTGGAACTCGAAGTGCGAGGTGGCCGCACTTCGAGTTCTGGGTTCGTGAGTTCGTGGTGAGTTCTGGGTTGATTTAACATTCAAAACCGGTTTTATTATCTTGTAGGTGCCCTAAACCCCTTGAGTTTTAAATCAAGCGAAGAGCTGCACAAAGCTGAATTTTTTTAGTTTTTTAATTTATCACCCCTATAAGGTCCCAGCTAAATATTTTATTTTTTCACTAATTTTTATATAGGGTGTAAACCACATAAAACACAATTTTTTCACACTAGCCTAAATTAATGTTTTTTTGGTAATTTTTGACCTGCCCTATTATACAAGCAGTGCACTATTCCTACAGGGGCTAACACTTGACATGGAAAGGAGGTCCCAATCTGATATAAATATACAATATAAAGAGGCAATGCTCCAGTCAAAATAAACATTTAATCCGATCATTATTCATTTCCCTAGATCCTACTTATACCTACCGTATAATGAACTTTTTTTTGTAATGCAATAATGTATGACCCTGTATGTAAACTAATAAGATTTTTCTTAATAAACAACAAGTTAAAAGGCAATTATTTTCTATTTTTTGCCAACAATTTCAGCATTTTGTTGATTTTTTCCTTTTACATATTCAACCGCAATCACCCTGTAAGTACGATTTTTTTGTCTCTTTGAAAATAGTACAAGGGGTATACTCTTAATCTAAAACAGTATATCAAAATATTTAATGTAAGATATTTCTCTTGAAAATATCTATTTTGTCAGTATATATTTGTTTAAAATTTATATATTTGGTACATATTAAGTTATATTTGGAAAACTAGTCATACGATCTAATTTTACCAATAAGAATTTTGAACGAGTACATCGAGTACTATACGATATCAAATATTGAGAGACTTTAACGGTGATATTTTTTTTTTTTCGGTATTTTAGCTATTTTTGTTCGGTGGGAATACCTACTTTGACCAAAAAAGATTTGATGAATCATTATTCACCCTGTAAGGTACAATATTTTAATTATAGTAGTTAAGTATGTATTTTGACTACACAGAATGAGCAAAAAACTTCCAAAAATATTTAAGGGTGATTTATCGTGTCCATTTTAAAGAATTAGGGATTTCTAACTTCAACACCCTGTATCTCAAAATCTAGTCATAGGACACGATTGGGCCCATGGACACTTTTGATGGGGACATCAAGTTATTTAACATATCAAAAATTCAGACATTTTGACGGTACTCCCGTTTACATAAGAAAAGTGCGTGGTCCTTTTCTCCCACTTAAATCCTCACTTATAGAAATTATGTTATTACTACTTATTCTAATGTTAATTTATATTAATAAAAATTATCACTTACAACTTTAAGTTTTGCTTGAATTTCCCGCAATTTTCGCCTAGCTAATACTTGTATGTGTGAGCTAACTTGTTTTCTCGTCCTTGTCTTTCCAGTCCTTAATTTTATATACCTTGCTATTAGTTCATTTCGTCCTGAAACAAAAAAAGAATATTAAAAATTAGTCTGTTGATGAAAGGATCAGGATACAATTTAAAGTCAAGAAGATCAAAAATAACTTTTACAATTATATGCCAACTTATTACAATTAGTAGTAATCTACTACTAATCTACATTATAGATTTAAAGATCTCTGTCTAAACATTATAATGTGTAAACCAAAAATTAAATCAACTGATTTCGGAATATATAGAATTTAAAAATTTAATTTTCGGTCAAATTAAAGATAAACATCTAACTTAAGTCGTATTACTATTAAAAATTGACCAATAATTTAAAACAGATCATCTCAAAGGTGCTGTTCTATCTATCTATCTATTTGAATTAGGGCGTGGTTCAAAGCCCACTTGTACTGAAGCTCTAGACTTATTGTACCCCTCACAGTTTCTATCCCATCAGATTGATTTTCTTGATGAATTCAAGAATATGTCTGATGGGCGCTTTCGCGATTTCTTCAGGTTCCGGATATTGTACCCCGAAGTACCATTCCCGTTCCCATTTAAGGTTCTGACAGTGGCATAGTATGTAAATAGGAGTTTCGTCCTCCTCTTCACATATTCTACATAGGGAGTCATCAGATATCCCTAAGAGATTTAGGTGTCTTCTAAGGCCGCAGTGTCCCGTAAGGAGTCCTATTACAACCTTGAGTTCGCTTCTGCTTAGGTTTAGCAGTTGATGTTGTCTGCTCGTATATGGCCCATCTATGAATCTTTTAGACCAAGTCCAGGAAGTTCCATCCAGAGCATATGGTGTTCTCTATTTATTTGTTCCTTTAACACCCATTTAAAATGTTGGTATGAGATACCACATGTGGGTTCTGGTCCAATAAGAGTTTTTTCCGCTCTCATCCTTGCCAGGAGGTCTGCTTTCTCGTTTCCAAACACTCCCTCATATTCTGGCACCCATTCAAGAGTGACCTTGTTATGTTCTGCCAGGGCCTGGAGGGACTGTTGTCAATCAAATATTGATTTAGATTGTACTTCTACCCTTTTCAGTGCTTTAAGGGCTGCCTGACTGTCTGTCATGATAAAGATCCTCTTATCTCTAAGAGAGTCAGTGAGCATGACTTTGGTGCAGGCATTTATTGCTGTTACTTCAGCCTGGAAGACTGTTGTCAGTAACCCCAGGTTCAAACTAATTGTACTCCCTGAGTTCACATGGTAGATCCCAGTTCTTGTGCTGTTTTTCATTTTCGAACCGTCTGTATACCAGATTGATTCGTTTTGTTTTTCCCTATTTTCCCGGCTTTTGGCCCTTTCTGGTATTTGAATATCAAAAGGTTTCCTGAAGTCGTGAATAATGAGCGTTCTATCCGATGGCATTCTTAGTACCGGATTTTGTTTTAATTTCTCTATTACGAAGTTCTGCTCTTTTTGGAAAGGTCTCGACTCCACCATACAGCGTCTCGATCCTCTTTCCTAATTTTTAAAGGGTAGTTTTTTTCAAATGTGTTGGTTAGGGTTCGTGTCAGAAACTCTGACACAAACTCAACTTCCACTGAATTCTTCGGTATCGGAGGACAGTCCTCCAGTCCCTATTTAATTTCTTCCTTGAAAGCTCCTCAGTTACAGGTCCTAGAATTACGATATGTCTTCTCAAACAGGATATGTCTATGGTCGGAAAGTGACGCTTTTTGTAAGATGTGCCACTTCCCCACCAATGAACATGCCCGTTGTGTACCTAGGGAATCAAAGTATGTGAACTAGGGTTATATCAGTAACCTATGTTCACACAAATGTAATGAAGGTTGGACCAGTTCTCTCACCTCCTTGGTGGGGGGGGGGGGGGGGGCAGGTTGGTCATATCGCAGATATACGGAACCAACAATCAGATTAGTTCCTCCGTCTAGCTTTAGAGATATTGTCACTAGGTCATTTGTACAAAATTCTCATAGTGGAAACACCTTCAAGCTTTTATTTGCAATCATGCAGGTTCTTGGGTGTCCAGAAGCTGAATAAATCATGTCATAATCCCCTGATATATGCAACACTCTAATTCGCCCCTTGTATATAAGAGGTTCTTGGATTAGAGCAAGATCAATGTCTTGTTTTATTATACATCGTTGTAGGACAGCTGTTGCCGCTCAACAGTGATGTATATTTGCTTTTTTTTTTAAAGTACCCCCTACTTATTGATGTAGGGTCCTCTTCCTCCTCCGGCACTTCAGCCGGGTCAGACAGCGGTGAGTCCCTTAAAAGAGTCCTCTCCTCGTCTTCACCTAGCTCACGTGCTGTGGATTCCAAGTCTTCTATTTCCATTGGAGCGTCAGTCTCTTGTTCTGTTTAACGACCAAGGACTGATTCTCCTCTGGTATGTTTTCTCCTACCTCAGTAGGCGTTTCTTTTTCCTGAGAAGTTTCAAGAGCAGCAGAAGTAGCCCGTTCCGTCTTTCCTCCAATTTCTTTTATCGAGATATTGGAGAAATTCAGGAAGAGTATTCTCTGCTTCTCCTGTATCTTCTCCCAAGAGACGGAATCCATGGTTATGAAAAGTTGTTGTCCCCTAGGGTCCAACTTCCTTCCAGTAACCCTCCAGTTCCCCGTTTGGAGCCCCGAATTTTGGATTCTCAGTCTCTTCATTATTCTTTCCGGTTCCACTGTAGGTCCCGGTATCCATGTCATGGTAAACTTGGGTTTCATTACTTCCCCAGAGTCTACGACTTTGAGTTTAGCACCATCCCAAGGTACCATGCTTTTGACGGTCTGCTCAACCCAATCTGTCGTTGCTTGATCAACTCAAGAAAGGTTTAAACTCCCGTTTCTTATCCTAGCTTCGGAGAACCTGGGTGAAAGTCCTCCTTCGTCTAGTTCTTCGAGTCTGTCGAGCAGTGCAGTTATTATTAGGTCTCCCTGCTCCTTTGTTAATATATTATTGGGATAGTATATTGGTACAATGGCTACTCCAATATTGCTTGCTTTAGGGGCGTAAGAACACGATGCTACCGGCTCGGTCCCATCCGGCCCCACCTTTGATGTGGTACCAGTTGATCCCGAACCCGCAGCTCTAGCATCCTTAGACCTTCTAGTTTTTCCTTTTTCCGGAGTGCTGGTATCGGACCGGTTTCTCTTTTGAGCCTCGGTTCGTCCCTGCTCGCTGGACACAGCCTTGGCTGTTTTTTTTTTGCCATCCCTGAGGTACTAGGACTCGCGTTTTGTTCCATACCCGTAGAGAAAGAACGAGACGCTTGCCCCCGTTTCCCCGGTCCAGCATTCATTGGTAGTATGTTTTTTTGTTTTGCCGTCCCTGAGGTACTAGGACTCTCCTTCCGTCCCATCTCCGTAGAGATAGGACAAGATGCTTGCCCCCGTACCCCTGGTGCAGCATTCACTGTCATAGTGGTCCACCCTGTGCCGGAAGAACTAGGTCCAGCCTCACTCCCCACATCTAATATTGCGGAGGATGCTCCGCCCTGTCCCTCCTGCTCAGAGGTCTCGCTAGTGTCGGTGTTTTGTTGGAGCTTTTTCTGCTTTCGCCTGAAAGCTCCAGATTTTTTTTGGTGTTTTTTGTTGTCCTTATTTTTCATATAAGTCCCGCATTATCAGGGGAAGGCTGGTTACTTGGGGGTGTCGCCCGGTCCCCCAAGGGAACGTTCGATGTCGCATCTACCCCTGCGACAATTCATCCGTCGGCACGTTACCTTACACCTTAGATTGGGGGAGTTGGTTCGCGGCGATAGACTTCGCAAAAGATTTTGAGAGTTTTTAGGCTCTCTCACTCTACTTATATCTACCACTAACCAGGTGCTGTTACAGAACACCTAGAATGCCATTGCCTTATCACACCTCCGATATAGAGTTATAACTTGAAAAAGTAAATTACTAAATGTGATACTAAATGAGAATACAGGAGGGCGTTTAGAAACCTCGCACGGCCATAGAAATAGTATAGAAAACCAATTCCATATATCAAAAATGAAACCATAAGGAGAAAATAGTGTGTCGGAGCTCATGCGTATAACGGTGCTGGCTCGGACAGGACCGGTGCAAGTTTTTTATTGATCGAACAAATAGTTCACACGATGTTTCAGGTTGGAAGTCATACATTTTTAGAGATGATTCTATATAAAAAACGTTAAAAAATTCAAGTAAGGTAAATATGGTTTTGAGAGTCCTTATTAAGAAAGATATGGCATAAAATGTGAATTAGTTAATTTTCGGCAATTATTAGTGATATAGTCACGAGATTTTGCTTGTGACCTGACATTTTATTTGATTTAATATCATTTGCTACAAGTAAATTTAATCTGGGGAGTGCAAAATATGGGGAGTTGCGTTTAGCCCAGGAATATATATTTTTTAACATTTTGTCAACCGAGACTATGAGTCGTTAGTTACAATTAGATAGAAAACCTTTTATGTTACCATTTTCAATATAAATATTATAAAGCTAGTTTAGAAAAGTTCATTATGTCACCAGTTGCGAAAAAAAAATAAATAAAAATAAACCATTATTGGTTTTATATTCAATAATATACCTGTTAGGGGCAGTATTGTAAATTGGACACTGACGATATTGACCCGGACACTAACGTCAGCAGAATGCCCAATCAAATAGGAAAATGACCGGCCAATATCGTAAAAGACCAAAATATCATCTTTGACCGTAACATACCTACATTATCATTAAAAATTTATATCAAAGAAGAGCAGGTTGACTTATAAAAACAGAATTTGGTTAAACTTACAACCTAGTAATAATGTTGTTTTAGTCCTTATTTTTCATTGTAAATCAGCACAAAATAATTAAAAAACAATACACAACAAAATAACCCGCTTTCTTGAAATCTAAATAACTTTAACAAGCAATACAAACACAGTACTTACAACAAGTCGTTGAGAATAAATTATATGATTTTCTATTTGTTAATAAAAGAATGAAATTAATCATATGCATCTAACAATACAAGAAATTTTTTACCAAAACCCAATAATATATTGTGAAAAAATAAGTTTTATAATATCTCCGTAAATCATCTT